AAGTGTTTAATATTGCTAACACATTTTGTAAAACCAGTACGCCATTGTTATAATTATTGGTCAGAGTAGAATCTACTACTAGACAAATTACATCTGCTCTCTTGCTTACTTTTAAAATGTTCTGTGTAATAAACTAATTTTATCATACAGAGTATAACTAACTTAGAATTCTGGAATGCATGCATTATTAAACCCCCAAAGGCAAAAGGACATGATTTTTCACTCAAATGGGTCTTTTGGAACGGATGCTTTTTAAAGATTTATTTATTTATATTACAAAGTCAGATATATAGAGAGGGGGAGAGACAGAGAGGAAGATATTCTGTCCAGTGATTCACTCCCCAAGTGACCTTAACAGCCGGTACTACACCAATCCACAGCAGGATCTTCTTCCAGGTCTCCCACGCGGGTGCAGGGTCCAAAGGCTTTGCACTGTCCTCCACTGCTTTCCCAGGCCACAAGCAGGGAGCTGGATGGGAAGTGAAGCTGCCAGGATTAGAACTGGCGCCTATATGGGATCCCAGAGCATTCAAGCTGGGGTCTTTAGCTGCTAGGCCATCACTCTGGTCCCACTAATGCTTTTGTGTGTTTGTTTGTTTGTTTCTGCTTGTCCTAGCTGCATCTTGAACTATGTCTCTTAACAGTGTGTTTCCTAAACAACTCACTTGTAAACTTTAGATGCACACAATAAACGCCACTGCATGTCTTCTCTGGAAATTTTTTTGATTTAGTAGTTAAGAATTAAATTTTTACCTATATTTCTAGTGTAGTTAGTGAAATAGGAAAGCTCTTTAACTTCTGTTTCTCATTATCTTACTTTTAGAAGGTGAGAAAATGAAATCACATGGCAATATAGAAATGCTGCGGAATAGTTCTATTCGTTATCAGTTCAATTTAGAACTAAGAAATGTACCAGACATGTTAATATTGAACAGCCACTTTGTTTGGCAATAGGTCAAACAATTAGAATTAATTTTATACTAGGCCAGATTTTTCATATGTGGAAATCTTTTAATATTTAATAATTCCATATTTATCTTTGACAAAGGGAAATTTCACTAAAAATTAATTGCACAAACATGAAGACACAATCTGTTCACTCTGATGGGGCTTTCAGTGCACAGAAGAGCAAGGAAAGTTTTCTCTGCTGTTTCTGAGGAAACAGTATTAGGAGCAAGAAACAAAGGAGGCAGTACCTTAACTATGCTAAGACAGCAGAATGGCACTCTTGGTGTCTGTGCCCTGGGTTGAAGGCTGGAGAAAGTAATGAACACAAGATATAAATGTCCACATAGTGAAAAACAAAAAGCAAAAAAATGAAAACAACAGCAACAACAGTAAAACTCAATCCAACTCAATATCTGCAAAGTCACATCCTTCCGATCGGTTTCCAGGAGCAGAACGTCAGGCTGTAAGAGGTGACATTAACGTTCAGCACTACTTTACATGAAGTTCAACTACATCAGAGAGACTATGCGATTATTGTCCCTTTGGAATTGATTTATTTCACGAAGCAGAATCATAGCTAGCTGAGATCGTTTTGTTGAAAATGGCGGAACTCTGTCGTTCTAACGGCTGAGTAGTATTCCATGGAGCAGATGTACCACAGTTCTTTAGCCACTCCTCTTTCGCCAGCTTCTGTATTATTTTCATATATTTACTCTTGTATCTTGTGCTGCCACACATGCAGGATTGGATCACTTTCTCATATGTTTGGGCATATTCCCTGAAGTGGGATAGCTGAGTCCCAGGGTAGATCTAGTTCCAGTTGGCTCAGCACTATCCATCTAGACTGCCATAGTGGTTGTACTAGCCTACATTTCCACCAACAGTGAATATGTTCCCTCTGATATAAGGAAACTTTCATGCAAAAGTACAAAATCTATGGATATGTAGCTAACCATGTGTATAAATATATTTATCCAGAGAATCTGTATATTGGAGGCAAGTATACTATGAAGTTGATACATATTGCAATATGCATCTCTACTTCTGACTAAAGCATAGACTCCCATTTTAACCGTAAAATATATCCTGTCAACAGAATGCTGGACTTTACACCATTGTTTTTACCTATAATGCCAGGATAGAAGTCACGTAAGTGGAAAAATGATGAACTTCTGATTGTTGCCTAAGGACTATAATACTGTTATAGGGAAAAACAGTAGAGGGGAGAGGGTTTGAAAAGTTAAATGGGGATATCTCTGAGCCTAAGGAACTGTATTACAAAAACTAACAGATAAAAAATGTTAAAACTAAGTGAATAAATAAATAAATAAATTAAAAATGTAGTAGTATTGGGTCCAGCACGGTGGCCTAGCAGCTAAAGTCCTCACCTTGAATGCTGCAGGATCCCACATGGGCACCAGTTCTAATCCATCCAGCTCCTGCTTGTGGCTTGGGAAGGCAGCTGAGGACAGCCCAAAGCCTTGGGACCCTGCACCTGCTTGGGAGACCTGGAAGAGGCTCCTGGCTCCTGGCTCGGGATCGGTGTAGCTGTTAAAGTCACTTTGGGAGTGAATCATCAGAAGGAAGATCTTTTTGTTTCTCCTCTTCTCTGTGTATCTGACTTTGTAATAAAAATAAATAAATCTTTAAAAAAAATAGTTTTAACACAGCTTTGTTTTCACTGATTTTTGTAAATGAGAAAATTACAGTCTATTTGGATTATTTTTTTGTCTTGGGATCAAGTGAAAAATCAGAAATGTATTTACATTTAAAAAAAAAATCTATGTGTTTGCTTGTTTTTATTGGAAAGGCAGATTTCCAAGAGAAGGAAATAGAGCAAGAAAGTTCTTCTGTCCACGACCAATGCTAAGCCTATCCGAAGACAGGATCCAGAAGTTTCTTCCTGGTCTCTTCGTGAGTACAAGGTCCCGAGGCCATGGGCCATTCCCTGCTACTTTCTCAGGCCACAGGCAGGGGGGCTGTATGGGAAGTAGAGCAGCCAGGACAGTGCCCATATCTGATCCCAGCACACGACGGCAAGGACTTAGTTAGTAGGTGATGACACCAGGCTCTATATTTATACTTTTATATTCTCCTTTGTCACTTGAATGAAGACAAAAAAAGAAAAAAAAAATGCTTTTATCAGTTAAGGGCCTAGGTTTGATTACTCAGTGTGACTGCTCTATTTAAATGAGAGAAAGAATGGCACGATTACACCCATTTGTATTTTATTTCAATAGTGAGTCTTGTCAGGATAATTTGTTCATTTGATGGAGCAATCTGCCATTTCCTGCACCGTAAGTTCATGTTTTGTTTACGGCCAGTCCTTCAGTGTGCTGGCATGTTGGCTTGATATTTATTTTGGTATGGGCCTCTGTTTGAGCAACAGATTCCATAAAATTTTTCGAGCTAGCTTTCTGAGTCTGGTATTTCCATAGATTTTATTTTTTTCTGTCCTCTTGGGAGCTGCTATTTACAATATCTAGGGTCTAAATAAAAAAAGGCTTTTGATTTTGTATTATTTTATTTCCTTTTGTGTGTGAAAGAATCCTGGTTTTCATTATATCCTTCTATCAGCTGTAGAGAAACTTAAAGACGCATTTGTATTTTCCAAAGGACACAATAATTTCAAATATTTTTAAGACAGTAAATGATTATAATATGCTTATTTTTGCATTCAATTGTGACATAAATCACATATAATGCAATGCTGTGGCTAACACATGAACAAAAAAGCACGTATTAGTTAGATCAAATTATTTAGGTATTAATTTCAAAATTATGAACTATACTTACATGTTATTTGATGTGTTTTATTATGTAATATTCAAACATATGTATCTGTTTTTATATCATGTGTTATTTACAGTGCTTTCTTTGGACAGATTAAGTACTTTTTAAGATATAGAACTCTTATTGAAGTATAAATGCTGTAAGATTTTTTTAAGATACAGAAAAATTAATCAAACTTAACATTTAATTTCAGAATATTATTACTTGAAATTTATTTGTTGCTTGCTTGTCTTGGTTTAGATAAATTACTGTAAGTAGTGAATTGCAAAAAAAAAAACTTATTGAGATCAATCAAAATTAGAACTGACATAAGGAGAAAATTCAATGGAAAGGTTTTTTAATGTGTGTAATGATGGCCTGAAGCTAATAACCCAATGCACAGTTCATGGAATTGACCCTAGGGTTTTAAATGTAACTTCAAAGCTATTGAGGAGAAATTGTTGTAATTTATGAAGAATGATAAACATCTGTAGAGATTTAATCAGGGAGAAATGAAGAAAAAAATGGAAGAGAAAAACTGAGGAGAAAAATAGTGACTGTGCTCAGTATTTGATTAATCAGATAGTTAGTTCCTTATGTTCACTTAAGAGGATCACGGCCAGCCAAGATTACAAAATATGTGTAGGCATGATTCTCAAAGCAGAAACTACCTTGTCCACCAATTTTAATCAAGATATTAGCATTAATACCTCTGGAATTTTCCGTCATTCTCCAATTTCTGAATATTTAGACATAGCTATATTTCAACTATTATTGCCATTAGAGACATTTTATGAAACTCTTAAACCTCAAATGACTTCTAATCTTACTAAATAATTTAGATAGTTTAATTATTTAAAGCAAGATGAATACTGCTGTCTATTATAAAAATGCAAAATGGATTTCAGTCAACATTTTTAGTATTCAATGTCTAAAGTTTACACAAAAGACAATATAGGGGAATCGTCACAAATTCCTTTTTTCTTAGTCATTCTCATTTTCATTAAGTGTGGTCTATTATTAAAAGAGTAATGGAAAATCAACAAGACAGTTCATATATTGAAGGCTGGAAGAAATAAGAAACTCTTAGATGTGAAGATCAAAGAAATGATATTGGGGCCTGGTATGTTCGCCAAGTGGCTAAAGTACCCGCCTTGTGTGCTCTTGGAATTCCACATGCACCAGTTCTAACCCTGGCTGCTCTACCTCCCTTCCAGCTCCTTGCCTACGGCCTGGAAAAAAGCAAATCAAGGATGTCCCAGGGTCTTGGGGCACTGTGCCCAGTTGTTAGGCCTGGAGGAAGCTTCTGGCTCCTGGTTTCAGATGGGCTCTGTCCCATTTGTTGTGACCACTTGATGAATGAGGCAGCGGACAGAGGATCTTCCTCTCCTTTCCTCCCTGTAGATCAGACTTTCCAATAAAAATAAATAAACCTTTAAATAAATAAATGATATAAAAGCTTTATTTTATTTGTTTTAATTCATTTGTTTATTCATTTACCAATAAAACAAATATAGAAATAAGTTTTGTATATCATTTATAGGAATATTTCTGCACACAAAAGTAGTATAAAAGAAGGTATTGTTTTCCCGACAATGCACAAAATGCATGCACTGCTCACTGTTTGAAGAAATACCTTAGTTTCTTTCTAATCTGTCAAGATCATCCAGTTTTTACTTTACCCCAAACTCTGGGTAAAAGTTAGTTCTTCTCTAGCAGAGAAGCGAGATTTTCCATCAGCTGGTTCACTTCCCAAGTGAATTAAGGCAACAGCCTTAATTGAGACAGGTAGAAACTAGGAGACAAGGTTTCCATCTAGATCTCCAAAGTGGGGGTAAGTGCCCGAGAACTTGGACCCATCTTCAGTTGAGTTGCTTTTCTCAGGCCATTAGGAAGGAGCTGTAACAGAAAGGGAAGACGCAGGACTTGAATCAACGTCCACATAGAATGCCAGTGTTACACACATCAGCTTTCCCTACCATGCCAAACACTTGCATACAAGTCATAGTTTCAAACAGCTTTCTGACTCTAAAGCGAATGATCATATTTTTTAATGAATAAATATTAAAAAATCAGAACTCTCTAAATTTTCTTTTAGAATGTGGAAATGATCTTATCTCTTACACAGTTGCTCATAAGGAGGAACTTTAGCTCACAGTTTTAAAATTGGTCGAGGACATGTAGCAGTTTACTTTCTGAGTATTGTAGGAGTGACATTTAAAAAGAGAATTTCAACCAAAGAAGGAAAAAAAGAAAAAGAACAAGAAATAATAAATAAGAAAGAAAGAAAGCATGTAAATAGTATGGGATGTTTTTTCACATAAATCTGGACTCAACTACTTAAGATAAATTTATGTAAAAGAAACAAAAAACCCAGTAAAATGTAATATGAAATTAAAATGTACTTAAAGTATTTCAAAAGTTCTTTCATTTTTACTTTGTATATTAAAAATAGGCTGTAAAAAATACCTAACATCTTCCTAAAGTTGAAATATTTATGAAAATGTCTGTTGACTTAATTCTAGAATTTTCTTTTCTCAACTCTACAAGCTTCAATTATGCCACAGGACAAAACTCTGACCTTCTCACACACATACCACAGTGGCTGCATTCACTTCTCTTTAGAACAGACCAGTCATCTACATGAAAGGTCTTTGCCAATATTATCATGAGAAGCATAATGAATATTTCATACACTTAAAATTGAACTTTCAAAATCTAATTGCTAAGAAGTACATCTACTTAAATCTGGTACTGTAATTGGATTATTTTAGCTCCAATTACAAGAGCAAATTGCTTTGCATGTATATGTATGTAGGAAGGAGGTAGACCACAATCAGCCACAAAAAAAAATGACTGTGAGTTTGTAAGCTATATGCAGAAGTAATATTAAAAATAAGTGTAGAGACTCAGCACAGAAGCCTAGCTGTTGGAGTCTGCCTTGCATGCTCCAGGATCCCACATGGAAGCAGATTCTAATACCTACAGCCCTATTTTCCATCCAACTCCCTGCTTGTGGCATGGGGGTGGAATCAAGGACAGTCTAAAGCCTTGGGACCCTGCACCTGCATGGGAGACCTGAAGAGGCTCTTGGCTCCTGACTTCAGATCAGCTCAGCTCTGGCCTTTGCAGTCACTTGGGGAGTATACCAGTGGATGGAGGGTCTTCCTTTCTGTATCTCCTCTTTTTTCCATATCTGACTTTTCAATAAAAATAAAATTAAAACAAATCTTTAAAAAAATTAAAATTATACATGGACTACACAGTATCATTGACAGTCAACAATTTATAGTATATTAATTATATGATTTATTAAAAATAATCAGAATCTACTACAGTGTTCTATAAATTCAACTTCCAATACCAGAGAATAGAGAACTTTTTAAAATACACTATAGTTTGAATACAACAAAATTTAAAATACTAAATTGCAAAGAGATTTAATATAAATTATGTAGCTTATTTAATTCAATATTTTACACATGCAAAACATTAGATTATTTCTTGGCATTTGAACCGAGCAATGTTTTATGTGAAAGGCTAATATTTAAATATAAAAAAATGTCAGGGAAAATGTTTAGATAAAGATGTGAAATATATTTCAAGACATTTGATCATAGCAAAATCAGAACAATTTATTGTAATTGTCTATTATAATAAAATGGCTTTAATAACTATTGAACTCTTCCAATTGAGTCTAACAACCTCAATACCATATCAGTTTCAAAGCCTGGTTGGAAGTCTCTAAATTCTCAGACTAAGAAGAAGGAGCAATTTAAGAAACAAACGTTCCCCAGAAGAAGAGAGACTTTGAAAACCTTCTTTCATGCTCAATCTTTTTTCCCTAAGGACAGGCTCTTTGCTCACTTCAAAGTAAGACTAAGTAGTTACATTAATTCAGCTGGAAACAGATTAATATTTTGCTCTGGCCCATCATCCTTCAAAGTTTACTTTTAATTTTGTAGTCTCTTTCCATTTTGACCAACTGTAAAGAGAGGGTGCATGTGGCTCTCTTGCAGGCAACTACTTTGATAAATATTGTTATAATCATTGCCCATTGCATAGCATTATGACTTAGATATTCTACGAACATGTGGTCTCTATTTGCAAAGAGGTCTGCTCTTCATCACTTGAAAGGCACTGCCATACTAAGGACTTAATGAATGGTAAATAATGACCAACGTTCACCTGAGTTAAATTAAAGTCAATTTTTTCCCACTCACAGGCACTCTTTTGACTCAGTATTGAGTTAGATGAAAGCTAAAATGATTGCTGTAACATATCATTATAGCACATAATAAAACATAATGAAAAAATTAAAACAATTTCTTTCTATGTTTATATATTATGGACCCATGAAAGCTGCATATATTCATCCCTCTGCACATCTTTATATTAATGACCACTATCGTATGGTTAGTAACACTCTAAATTATGGCTGACAGGATGTATTGCACAATTCAATGTATCTATTCTTCAACTAAAATGTTAAATTTATGTTTTCAATTTTTATATAGCATCTTCTACTTAATTTTTTAGATGCTATTTTTCTATTGTGCTAATTACCAAAGAGTGAAACCATTACGTGTATATATATTTCCTTTGAATAAAGTTGTTAAACAATCAGAGGGGCTTATAAAGTAATATAATCATCAAGGATATTTATGTTATATTATGTTGTATGATAATTATAAAACCTGATAGTAGACGAAACTTGAATTGTATATAATGGACAAATTTATGGAGACTTTAAAATAAATTGCAGTGTGCATGGCATGTGTTTGTGTGTATGTGTGTTTAATAGCTGCCTCAGGGAAAAAAAAAAAAACATGAAAAAAAAAACCTGGAAAACCAAGGTGCAACATAAATTTAAAACTGCTTTCAAGTGTGGCATCATGTTGGTTCTTATTTTTATTTTTTTTTTTATTGGAAAGCCAGATACACCGAGAGGTGGAGAGATACAAAGGAAGATCTTCAGTCCCCCGATTCACTTCCCAAGCAGTCGTAACAGCCAGATCTGAGCTTATCTAAAGCCATGAGACTCTTACAGGACTCCCTCATGGATGCAGGTTCCCAAGGCTGTGGGTGAGTCTCCACTGCTTTCCCAGGCCACAAGCAGGAAGTTGGATGGGAAGTGTGGCTGCTGGGATTAGAACCAGGGCCCACAAGGGATCCCGCCGCGTCCAAGGAGAGGACCTTAACCACTACGCTATTGCACCAGGCCGTACTGCATTGTTTTGAACTCTTCTTAGTGTAGTGGTAATCCTTTCTGTTATAAATTTAAAATGCTGTATCACAAAGTAGAAGAGAAGAAGGCAATAAATCAAGGAGAAATAAAGAAAGGATGAAGAAAGAGAGAAACAAAGAAAGATAAAGCTGTGGGGAGAAAGAATTCAAGAAAGGAAGGGAGGAAAGGAGCACAATAGCAAAGATATGAAAACAACCCATCTGTTCATCCAAAGAGGAATGGGTAAAGAAACTGTGGTGCGTCTGCTCCATGGGATGCTGCTCAGCCATTAAAGGGAATGTGATTCTGCCATTTGCAACCAAATGGTCCCAACCAGAGACCACTATTCTCAGTGAAATAAGTCAATCCGAAAAGCATAAATATCATATGTGCTTTCTGATAAGAGCAGCCCTTATGCAAATTATCAAATCAATAGCCCTTTCAATATATTTTTTTGTTTCAACTGAAGGGTTTTAATATCATTTTAGTTTCATTGCTTAAAAATAATTTTCTCTCATTATATTCTTCATGGACTTACAGATCATACAGTAGCATCATTTTCTCCAAGAAGGGCTTTTTGTTGTTATTTTCTTTTTTGTTTCTTAATTAACACATTGGTATAAATATAAATACATATTTGTGTTAATGTAATGTTAATGCTTATATATATATATATTATATATACATAATTCCTGTTTTTGATTTGGTTTTATGGCTTCTCAATTAATGGAATGCATAGTAACTATTGTGGGCACTCGCGTCTGGCCCCTGCCCTGCTACATGATGGGTGTGATCTAAGGCTTACTTTCCCATGAACTGAGGTACAATTCCCAAATCTACACGTGGAGTGTGACCTCCGACATGGCTAGAAGATCAAGGAGAATACATGTGGAACATGACCGGCGTGTCAAGGAAGACAGACGTACCTTATCACCAATGAAAATGCCTTGCTGAGCGGGGATTCTGCCAGAAGATGCCCCCCTGCCCTCCCCTTTCTTATCCTATAAAAGCTGCAACCTGGGTCTGGCACTATATTCTGGCAGTTAAAGTGCTTGCCTT